TCAACCACCAGTTTAAGAACGGTCTGAACCCCGTCGTAATCAAAATTCCAAATTATTTACAACGAAAGTTGACGGAAGAAAATTTCGCTTAGTGTACGCAGATTGGCACGCATAAGATTGCACCTGAAAATTCCTTTTAAACGTATTAATCCGCATTTTCGCATATGAGTTCAAGAAATATCTTACCTGGCTGACGAAACTAAGTTCAACAGGGAGAGACAGAATAAGGATCAAATCGAGATCGCAAAATCTCAACTCACTACTTGTCTTCGGCAAATGAAAGAACAAGGTTTCCTTAGTGAATAAGAGTTAGAAGCGCTGAAACCCACAGGCACAGTCCCCCCAAGGCCCTATGGTTTGCCTAAGATTCACAAACCAGACGTTCCAATACGGCCAATAATTGATATGTGCAATTCACCATATCATGTAATTGCAGGGTGACTGGCAAAAAAGCTGAAACCAAATCGGCAACAAGTAGCACCGCATAGCCAACGGGACACGTGTGAATTCGTTGAGTCCATAAGAAACACAAATCTCAATGGGAAAACGATGCTATCTTTAGATGTCGCGTCACTGTTCACCATCATTTCCTTCACAGAAACCATATAATTTTTGTGTGACGAGATTAATAAACAGGACATAAAGGAATTACTCTTACACTGCACTCTAAACGTGCAATTCAGCTTTAAGAGCCAATTTTTACCGCCAAATCGATGGTGTAGCAATGGGATCACCGCTCGGACCTCTATGAACAGATACCTTTATGGACAAACTGGAGAGCAGCAAACTTTCCTCTATTATAAAGGATCGTACATCCTATGTTCGCTATGTGGATGATATATTTATAATAAGAGACGGAAAACTTGAGCTTGACACATTCTTAGATAAAGTGAATCAGTTGCACTCTGCGTTAATCTTCACTTTGGAAAAAGAGGACAAACAGTGCCTCCTCTTTCTGGACATCCTTCTTAGTAGAAGGTCTGATGGCACAATAAGTAGAAGTGTATTTCGTAAGAAAACCTGGATAGGGTAATACGTTATTTTCTACACTTTTGTGCCACTAAGTCAGAAACTAGACATAGTTCGCTGCCTCACGAACCGAGCTAGGAGAATATGTTCTCCAGAGACACTGGAGGACGAACTCGCACTCATTAAGCACACCTTACAAGAAAATGGCTTCCCCGAGAAGTTCATCAATAAGTTTATGGGGAACGTCCACCAAAGTCAGAAGTGCCGACGGCTGAAAAGAAAACTCTATTTCTTACATTGCCTTTTTAAGGGGATCCAACAAGCGAACTTCTACAGCTTCGATTTAACACTGCAGTTGCGCGTACATATCCAGCAGCGAAGCCAAGATTATTCTTCTCAAGCATTCCGCTTCTTCGCCTTGAAGGCAAGGATAGAATGCCGTTCCAGACCACCTCAATATGTAGTTACAACTTTACATGCTCCTGTGGGGCAGGTTACATTGGTCTAACGACTAGGCGGCTATCCAAGCGCATGCGAGAGCACCATCCTGCTTGGCTAAATAGAAGAGAAATAAAGTCGATATCAAGCGCAATTCTGGCTCACTTGGTAGACAGCGGTC